CTCTCTGTCGCGCGCGCGTGTATACCTGTGTACACGCTCGAAGGTAAGAGAGAGAGGGACGCAACCCTCCTTTCTCTCTCTCTCTCTCTACCCTCTTTTCCACGGCACGTAGAAACGTGTAGCGTAACAGGGTTCTCGGTGGGAACCGGCTTACTGTTACGAGGCATACATGTCAGTCCGCTACCGTTACGTACGTGACTCGCGTATGTACAGGCTGGTACCGAGGCTGGTGGAAGGGGGATGATTCTACGAGTCGAACGAGAGAGGGAGAGAGATAGACGACCCTTTTTTTTTCCGCGACACAGGTTCTTTCCCGATCGCATGCACGGTTAACGATCATTTCGCGCCAAGTTTTCGAGTGATTCAACGAGAAGTCGAGATCGTCGAACGACCCTCTTTTCTCCCCCCCCCTCCCTCTCGATTGAGTTGGATATTTGTTTATCGCGACGATTGATCCCCTTTTCTTTCCCCCCTCTTTCTCGAGTTTCTCGAAGTGTAATGGTTTCTTAGATCGTGTTGGAATATTATTCCTTTCAACGATTCTTATCTTAGATGTTAGATTATCGAAATTCATTCGAATTGAGAAATACACGTTTTTTTTTGAATTTGTTTATCGACATATCGACAGGGATGAAACTGTTCGAATCGAGTAGTTCTTTCTTTTTTTTTTTTTTTTCTCTCTCTTTCTCTCCATCCATCCATCCATCCATCCATCGAGATTATGATCAATCTAGCGGACAACTCCTTCTCCCTTCCCCAGATTCGGGGTTGGGAACAACTTTTCGTAAAACTTTTCGTTCCATTTATATCATCGTGACGTTATCAAGATGAGACGTGTATATTTCGAATTTGGAAAAATTGGGGGAAAATCATCGCTCGAAGAAACGGCCACGGAAGTTCGACCATCGGAAGATCAGGAGCGGAGAGAACTCTTCGGAAAGGAAGAGAGAAAGAAAGAAAGAAGGAGAGAAAGAAAGAGAGAAAGAGAAAGGCAAAGTCTGGTCTCGAGCCAGCCAAACGGATAGACAAAGACACGCACCCGTAGATATACGCAATCGAAATGGATGGTTTCGTTCCGCGTTTCTTTCGCCGAATTTTCCTTTCAGTTTCAACCCCCCTTCTCCCCGCCCCTTCTTCTTTTCTCTTAACCCTTCCCCCCACGTGTTATATTAAGTTTATTTTTCCCCCTTTCTTTTCTTCTTTTCATTTCATTTTCATCCCTCTGTTGCTTTTCCGCTCATAATTTTTCGCTTCTTTTCCCCTTCATCATTCTTTTCTTTTCTTTTCTTTTTTTTTTTTTTTGAAAGCGATTAAACTGGTCGAAGTCGGTGTCCTCGAAGATTTTTTTTTTTCTTTTGAATTTTGAATTTTGAATTTCGAATTTTGAATTTCGAATTTTGAATTTTGAATTTTGAATTTTGAATTTTGAATTTTGAATTTTAAATTTTGAATTTTGAATTTTGAATTTTGAATTTCGAATTTCGAATTTCGAATTTCGAATTTTGGATTTTGAATTTTGGATTTTGAATTTCGAATTTTGAATTTTGAATTTTGAATTTTGAATTTTGAATTTCGTGGACACCTCCTCGATCCAGGATTTCAGTTTGTAATTCGTTAATAAGTTTACCTTTTTGATAAAGCGACGACAATACCCCCCGCTTTGTGTTTTATGATTTCTTTCACGGCACGTTTTTTCGCCTCTTTTTTTCGCCGATTTTCTTCAGTTTTCTTGTTTCGAAACGGAGGAAACGGAGAACGAAGTCACGAGTAGTAGAAGAAGAAGAGAAAGAAGAAGAAGAATAAGAAGAAGAAGAAATCGGGCGAAGGAAAACGAAAGAATCGAAACAGCTCGCCACCCCTTCCCAATTATGGACGTGTATTTTTTCTTCTTCCTCGAAATCGGGGAGAGGAATTCCCCCCCCCTTTTTTTTTTTTTCCTCCCCTTCGAGCAGGCTGCTTGGAAGAATTATTATTTATATCCTGTTCCCAAGCAGGCTGTTGGAAGCCCTGGATGATTTTGAAATTTTTCTGAAAAGAGAAAGAAGAAAATTTCCATCCATCGATCTCTCTCTCTCTCTCTCTCGAAGAGAGAGAGAGATGGAAGGGGAAGGGGTGAGAGCGGCGGGACGCGAAATTAAAATTACAAGGCCGAGGGTATCTTCGCGCGATTTACGGAAAAAAGAAAAGAAAAGAAAAGAAAAGAAAAAAAAAATCGCAAAAACTGATTTGAAGTTTAAACGCAAGGTGTGTGTCTATCGGTTTGGTTTTAGCCCTGAGCAACTGCTCTGCCGAGAGCGGAGGCGAGCCGGAAGCCATGCTGGATATCCACCACCCAGGAACCGGTCTCGAGTCTCATCACCAACAGTTTCACAACTCATATGGTAATATCGTTAAATACTACATCACTACTACTACTACTACTACTACTACTACT